ATTTCAGAGATAATTGTCTCATTTTTCAAAGACATTTCAAGCACTGGTGGGTGTTTATACTCTCCTCTTGATGCAGACACGTAACTGCTCCTAGCTTCAAGATAATAACGCAGAAGCATCGAGATTACACCCTCCTGGGCTCTACCTCTCCGAAACACCCGCAGGCCGGGGGTGAGCCTTCATCCCACCCCTCCGCGCAGCGCCGGCGAGGCCGCAGCCGGAGCCCTGGCTCCAGTGCTGGGCTCCCCACCATGTGCCGGGCACAGACAGACAGGAACAGGTCCTGCGAAAGGCCATGAAGATGATGAAGGGATAGGAGGGGAGGCTGAGAGAGCTGGGATCGCTTCACCTGGCGAAGAGAGAGCTCAAGGGGCGCCCTGTCAGTGTACGTAAATACTTGATGGAGAGGAGTAAAGACAACAGGCAAGGCTTTTCTCAGGGCTGCCCACTGAAAGGGCAGAAGAATTTTCATATAAACATTAAGAAAAAACTTTCACCATGGACTCCTCTTTCTTGGACAGGCTCTAAACCCAAGTGGGCGATGTCGTGGGCAGCCTGTTCTAGCTGACCCTGCCTCAACAGGGCGGCTGGACCAGGCTCTGTCCCAAGGCCTCTGCCAACCTCAACAATTCTGTGAAAATCCTCGCAATCGCGGTGCAGGTTCCAGTGACAATACTGCCAAAATGTCGAGCCTGGGAATCCAGGACATCAAGACTGCAGCCGTGTGTATTTTAAATCCTTTCCTACACCAGGGAAGTGGATTTTGATAGCGTACGTGGATATTCACAGTTAAAACTTGCAGAGGCACGAGGGGACAAGGGGAAAGGAAGATAACTCCCAGATGATGAACTATGCGTTCACCTTCACAAGAGAAGACTTTGGGCCACAGCGGCTGTACGACAAGATGAAGACTGATCTCTTCCTCCCCTCCTTTTCTTTCTCCGGCCCCAAGTGAAACAGCATGACAGCTTTGGGCAGCCTGGGGCACTTGGCAATTCAGGATATAGAACACTATTCATAACGCCTGGAAATAGATTAAAAGTACTTAAACCGAAGAAACAAAGCAGACTGAGTTTGTGGCTGTGAATCTGTGTTTTGGCTTGTCAGGATTAACTGAACTACAGCAGACATAAGAGTCTTAGGAGAAACAGCTTGAGTTAGGCTTTCTGGAGCTTCAGAAATACGATTAAGTCAGGCTTAGCTGTGAATAGTTTTATTACTGGAACAGATTCCTAACAAAATTGATGCAGTTACACCAAACTAAATGGTTCCTAAACCAGTTTATAGCTACTATGGAACCGGCACCAGAATTTCAGGAAGAGTCAAGATAGAATAGTGTATTTCTGGCCGCCTTTACGGTGAAGGAATATTGCATCACATATGGAAGCCACAGTAAGGACACTTAAACTTAAGACACATTTATAGAAACCAATGGGAGCACTAGCTTCAAAGCACAAGCAGAGCATTGCTTCAACCGATCTCTTACAAATACTTTATGTTGCTCTCGTAGCATGGGCATGTCCCTTCTTGGGGAAGAGAGGGGGACAGAGGGATCCACCCTTGGCTCTGAGTCGGGAGTGCCAACACAGAAAGACCTCACACTTCTTTAAAAGCCTACCCCGTAAAGCTCAGAAGTCAAGAACACTGCACTGCAGGTGAAGAACAACTATTTTTCCTGAGCGTGGGTTCAACAAGTCATTACACTGTGGAAGAGGAGGAAGAGGAAACATTTAGGTTAGCAAGCAGTAAAAATCCTGGAAGTCTCAAGAATGGAAGTCACTACAGACAAGGGGTAGGAGAGCTGAAAGGGCTAGAGAATAAAGGCTGTTTCAGAGTAAAATTGTCAAGCGTTTAACTGGGCTGCTGGCAAACCTTCCTCATTAAGAGAACACCTTTTGTACTGCATCATACCGAGTAAGTAATCTGGGACTTTAATGCACAAATAGCCTGATGCTGATTTCATATGACACCGATGGAGTTAGTGCTATACCACCATGAAGTGAAATCAGAATTTCTCAAAGACCAGAGCACCCACAGATTTGGTTAGCGTACGCAGACAGAAAACGTCTATATCCAATTTCCAGTTGGCTTCCCTTCATTAACACAGATCTAAAAAAAGTAAACCAAAACCAAACCCACCCCAAACCCCCTCCACCAGCTGCAGGGGTGGCGACCTACACATCATTTCAGACAGAGCCTCACCTGAACTGAAACAGCTTTCAGCACAACAAAAGATACAAATTCATGATTTGTATGAAACATGTATTGCAAAATTAAGTTGGGATTCAACAATCTGCAGCAACATCCACAGCGATATAGCATTTTAAAAAAAAAAACCAACCCCAAAACACAAACAAGTGTGGTTCTTCGTCCATTCAAGTAAAACTAAAACAAGAGAAAGAAACATAGAAATTAAAAAAAAAATATCTTAGAAGCAGCAAGTTACAACTCTTTCTGTAATACCACACCATTTTCATTAACTTGAAGCATTTTAAGATGTCAAACCCATCAAAATAGTAATTTCAAGTGGCTTTTTGTGATAGCTGTTTTTCAAATGGGTCCAGCCCAGGTCTGCAACCTGTACAGACACGCAAAACAGGAGGAATTCACAATTATTAAGAACAGATGTTAGAACATGCCAGTTATAAAATGACAAAGCAAAGAAAATACCTTCAAATTGTCAACAACCATGGGCTACTGACCGCTAAAGGGTGTTTAATATTTTACAAACAGGAAAGTCAGAAAATACCCCAAAACAACCCTCCAAACACCACCAGCGGGGTCATCACAAACAACATTCTCTACAAGCTTGGTAACTTCTCTATTGCCCTTGATACGCAGGCTTGTATCTTCTCCACAAGATGCCAAACCACTAACAATTTCTGGTTTATTTAAATGCTTTTTATTTTAAAACCGATACTGAAAGTCCGTTTCACCTGTGAAAAAAAACTACCAATGCACCCTTCGGAACAGAAGAGCGTGCACATGAAGTCAGTACAGGTGCTTTTTCTGCCACCTTTAGGAAAGCAAAGAATGTATTTTTAAGCAAAGCTAAGCAGCAGCAGCCTGTTCTGTCATGACATCAAAGAGCTCCACAGTTGAAAGAGTTACTGGTTTTAAATTTGCATTTCACTAAATCACCATTTCTTAATGCTTTGTAGTAAAACACATGGCCCAGCCCTGGGCTCCTTGCTCTGGCAGCCCTACAGTTTTGCAGGAGCAAGGCGTTCAGATTCAATTCAAGCTCAAAATAAGCTACGTAGTGTTTTGTGCAGCCAACTCTCAGAACAAAGGGAACGCTTTCAAATCTCCATGAAGTGGGAATACTTCAAAAATAAAAATCCAAATTCCAAGCAATGCCTGTAAAAATCCAAAAATCTAGCGCTTGGCTACAGGTGCTTTCACAGTCTGTAAGCAGATCTTATTTCCGATGCCGAGAACAGACGGCATCCTCTCACTTACACCACGGTGAGTAAATAGTACCTGCACCATCTTCGGGGCAGTTACGCAGCACAGGGCTGGCATAGCAGGATAAGGTGATCAGGACTGAACACTGTGAAGCTTAAAAAGGTTGGGTTTCTTTTCCCCTGAAACACTGGCCTGATGTTTTTCAGATGCCCATCCTGGTTATGGCAAGAACAGCTGCTTAAAGACTGTGAGCTTCTCCTCTTTTTTTTTTATTTCAGGGCTATAACTACCCCAAATCATATTATGTCTGCATCACTATGAAGTTTCCTTTCTTTTACTATCTGACGTTCATAATAACTTCTACAGCTTATGCACAGCATTTAGTTGCAGCAACGTTTGGAAACTGAGCCTGATTCCTCACACCTTTCTGTGTATGCAAAAAGGGTGCAGAACACCGTATGCTTGAACCAAAAGACATTCATACTTGTATTTACAGAAGTAAATGGCTAGGAAAGGGCAAAGTACAAGAGAAGTTCGGCTCATAACATCCAATAGATTTGAGTTGATCTTTTCATCCAGGCTGGAAAAGGCTGACCCATCTCTTAGATAAACGAGGTAAAGCATTGTTTCAATACCAGATAAATAAGGATAATATAGCACCTAACATGGCATTTGCACAAGTTTCACTCGCTTAACTGAAGAGTTACGGCCAACAGGGTTTCAGATTTTGTGAACCAAATTTAAACTGAAACTAAGCCATGTTTTAAAAGACCTAAGCCATTAGAGTGTGTTGACTGCAAAGTAATACATACAACGGTAGTTTTGCTCTAGAAGTATGACCAAGGTCAGCAGGAGTTAAAGTATTCGTATGAACAGAAATGAATATGTAACAGTCAGTAAGAAGAGCAATGGGAAGTCTTATTGGACAACTCCAAAATATTTAGTAGAACTAAGGAAATAAAACTTCACATTCCCCATACTACTCTTAGAACCTCTGTAGTTTTCACAAAAACAGGTTTTCCCCCCCACAACATCAAGTATCCATGTGTGCAGCGATCAACTGCAGGACCTTGACTATGAAAGTGTCTTGAAAGACCAAGTCTCGGCTTTACAATCCCCGAAGTCTTTCATAATGTAATCGATTGCACATTTTTTTAATATATTACAATTTGCTAAATGAAGCCAACCACTCATTACCTCATCAGTACAGCCTGCACAAAGTACAATTTATCTATTTATATTCTAGTCTAACACCAGCTGTCAGCATATTTTATATTACATGTGGTATTGCACTTTCTGAGTGGCACCTTGGTGCGTGTTTGCAAGTGAACGAGCTGAACCCCCAAAAGCCCCAGACCTTCAGAGTTCACTCCAAGTGCTGCCAACCTAGCAAGTTTAAAATGTTAGGGTGAACACAGCCCTCAGAATCATGGGCTTCACTAATTAAAAAAACCAAAAAACTGTTTAACAATTAGAAAAACAGTCCTACCTGAAGTTGTGCATAAGGGCAATCCGAAATCCTCAATACTCTGAACAGTTTCAAAAAGTGGTGCCAATTTAGTTGATTGCACACGTCGTAATTGTGTTAGAGGACAACAACTAGATTTACAAATATATATTACACACACACACAAAACAGACGAAGCTATAAAATGTTTGGTAACTCCACATGCTTTGAGCTAGCCAGCGTATCTGCTGTATGTTGAACTGCTTATGATTGATCGTATCGAAAATCTAAATTGCTATTTCTGATGTATCTGTTACTGGATTAAACAACCACTTCCAAAGGAGGAAGAAAGAGGAGAAATGGTGGACCCAAAGATCGAGTACGTTCCTTGAATAGCCAGCATATCACTTCAGTAATGTGAAGAGTGACGCCCAAAAATTTTTGAAGAGACTTAGGCCAAGTTCAGCTCTGGCATTAGTGGGTGTATCGCCCACTACTTCAATGGTACTTGTGTCCTCTCTCACCAGGGTTGAATTTGGTCCTAGGAGTATATCTGGTCACCTTCAGTGACGTTAGTGGAAACGTGAGTCTTGGACAGATAGAACTGGGCTGCAAAATTAAAAGAGTGAATATTGGACAAATCATGTAAATAAAGAATATATATTAATAATAGTTCCTATTATATAAATAGCCTTTATAAAAAAATAATCTTTCAATAATTTTAATAACTCACCTTTCTTTAGGTTCTGGAAAACATGTATGAAAAAAATCTATTCAGTTCAAGTTAGATTAAAGCAAACCTAAGATGAACACTACAACTCTCTGTTGCACTAAACCCAATTCTGACCATTCAGTTTCCAGGTTAGTCAGTTTTGGGGGATGGCAAGGAGTTTCTTTGTGAAGGTATGAATTGCACCCCTAGAAATACTGAGCAGAAGAAACACCGTAGTGAATGGGCCTATTTCCTACTGCTTTCAGAAACTCTGCAGATGACAGACCCAGAAATCAAAGGGTCATTAAACACCATAAATGTTAATGCCTCTGAGCACATTTAGAAGGCACTGTCCTCTCACTATTGTTTTTAGATCTCTGAACTGAAAACTCCTTCCCTTCAAACTATGCTGCATTTAAATATTCGCTATCACTCCAATTCTCTTTCCGTGCTTCTCAATCCCAGCATAGTCTCTACCTGCTGTACCAGATCTAACGTAATATGTGATGGACTCTATGTTCATGCTAGCACTATTTTCCTTTTCCTTCTAATTTATCCTATCAAATGAAAAAAGGAAACATTCTTCCAAGTTTACCTTTTTGGGCTTAAGGCATAACATGAAGTCACACATCATACTAAAGCTTAATTTTTGAGGTGTACAATTTTAGTGCTATCTGAAACCCTGTTTTACATTATTTTTTGACAGTTGTCTGAACAGTTCATCTCTTTTCTTGCCATAAATTCTAATGTTGTTCGTGGTTTGTGCAATTCCTATGCAACCAGTCTTTGCTGCTAACGGGTATGAACAGTGCAGTACCCACAAAGCGGGCTATCAGTTCTTGTTGTCTTTGCACTCATTTCAGTTCAAAGCATGTTGCTTTATTGTGTGGAAGATCCAGTCCATTTTTGTTGTCCAGCCACCATGGTGAGCATCATTCATTTGCTTCATGAAGTACTCAAGAGCTTCCTGCTCGGTTTTGTCCAATGCAAGGGTCTTTCGAATGTATGCAATAAAGAGATTGGCATGCTGCCGAATTGCTAGATAAGCCTTATAACACATCTCCTGAAACCTGGAAGAGACAGAGGGGAAAAAAAAAAGCTCAGTATATTTCCTTATTGGATGCATATTACTTCTTCACCTCCAAAACAGTTTCAGGTAACTGGACACTAAAAAAGTAGACATTCTTAGCACCATAATGCTGCTGAGAAAACATCCTCATCTTCCTACTCAGGTCACCTTCATTTCTGTTAGAGTTAGCAGTGGACAGACTAACGCAATAGCCAAACCTAAGATGGGTTTTCTAGCCTTAAACCTCATCTGCAATTCATGCAAGCATTCCACGCAGGTTTATGGGCCTTCACAGAGCCATTTCAGTCATTGCTACTGACATTTCAGATTTCAAAGCACACTTCCTGACACACTGCTGCACAGTTACCAGGGACGCGCTTCTCTCCTGTAGTTTACGAGGGCAGTAGCTGTTATTCCTTAGAGGCTCTGGAGAATGCACTGAAGACAGAGGCATTTGCTATTCACAACAGTGGGTGGGAAAGGCCTGTTTATGCTGAAATCACTAATTTAAGTCAGGTTAAGGAAAAAAAATGCAAAAAAGCTTCACTGCAGCATTCAGACACTCTAACTTAAAAATCTGTCTTCACACCCCCAACATAATGAAATTAAGATTAAAATTGAAACTTCTCACAGACTAGATCTCTGGAAAGACAAGGTATTAGGAATGACTACTGCAACAGAATTTATTTTATAGTTCTCCTTTCTTAACAGGTTCTGCAGAGTGTCACAGATTACACGGGCCAGCTGAAGAGCCAATACCACAGCAAGTGTAGGAGAGAGAAGCATCGCTGAGTGACCAGCAAGGCTGATGCGCATCGTACCCGACATTTAAGGATGCTCAGTTTTTGCAGTTATGCAATCCCAAAAGGATTTTAAGTGTTTACTCATAAAGCTTTCAGATATTTAAAAATTCATCTTTATTCACATGTGTGCTGACCCTGCAGAGCTACAGTGAGGTTTCATGAACCAGAGGCCATGTAAGATCACCTACTGATTTACAAGTGGATGGCTGATCTCCAGCTAAAGAATTAGAACACACCCATTGCACGCCAATTAAAATGCTACTTTTCAGGTAAAAGGGCTAATTATTAAAGGTCACCAGTAGCAAACTGCATTTTAGGTACAAAATACTCTGGAGGTTAAATGCTTAAAAAAGCTCACCTTTCAAATTCCCTTGTTTTGGTACATTCTTGGGCTCCTTTACTAATCACTATTAAGAAGTCTTGTGTTAAGACAAATGGCACACGCTCCCTTTTATAACCAAATTTTTTCTTCTTGTGATCGAGGAAGTGCCCAAAGTCAATGTGAAACAGCTGGGAGAGAGAGAAAGGTATTTTAAGATTAGCAATTCCTTGTTTAAATGATGGCATAGTAAAAGCGATCACTTACAGTTCAGATGGATTTTTTTGTTTTTTAAAAAAAACCAAACAAACTCATATCGAAGTGAGAGAGAACGTTAGGCTATGCTTTCAGAAAAACATATCCTTACTTGTCCATCATCTTTTACCATGATGTTGCTGTTGTGGCGATCACCAATGCCCAGGATAAAGGTAGCAACACAGTAGCCAGCACAAGAACGTGTAAACAAGTCAATAGCTGCATCGTACCTATTGAAAACAAACGAAGGAGACATTTTCCTACAGATATTCTAATACAAAAAAGTCCAGATTTTTTTTTTTTTGCCCTTCCCCATTAAGGAAGAACCAATTCCTACGATCTTCTCTCAATACACCAGAGTTCCTGAACTCTATCACTTTATTAAGTAAGGCATAAATTCCGTATACTCCGAGAACAGAAGTACTTACAGTTAGGTCATGGGACAGCAAACTAGCTATTAAAGTGACTGTCCCTCTTTTGAAGGCCAGTGGTTTTCATTGTGATGAGCTACTGCTAAAATACAGGCTTAAGCCATATCTTCATAGCTCTGCCTCCAGCTTATGCTTTACTGCTGAGAAGTTGCACAACCACCCAAACTCATTAGCAGAGCTACAAGCAAGAGTATTAGGCAAATGAGGGCAGGGGGGAAAAAACCAAACAAAACCCAACCACAGATGGACATAACTTCCCACTAGATGAACTTTAGTTCTCTTGAAGCTTCCATCAAAAAGAGCACATGAACAAGAAAAACAAGCAACAGGAAATCTCACATTTCTCCTTTGTTCTTGTCCTTGAGCCACTGATGCAGCGTATGGCTGTTGAACTGCAGCGCTCCTTTTAAGCCTCCTTTACACTGAATCTGCATGATCGTATGAGAGCTCCTCACCACCTCGATGAGACCCACACAGTCACCAATAGACAAACAACCATAAGGCAACATCCTGAAAGATGAAGGTTTTTTCAGAGTTAAGTTTTAAGACAGCAAGCACCATATCTACCAATGTCATCCCTCAGTTTTATATCAGGACAAAAGCTTAAGGCAAAATTTCATTAACATGTTCTTAGAAGCCTTGGGGAATTTGCTGGAAAAATTCTTAAAAAAGCATTCAGCATGATTTAACAAGATCTATTCAAAGTGAATTACTAGAGACAAAACCTAAGCATTCAGAAAATGAATATTAGGATTTCATGGGTTACTGTAAACAAGCAGCAGGTAATACTTCTTATGTAAAACCAGCATGGGACCTTCAAAATGAGCTTCTGAATAGTACCTGAACGTATCACAAAATTGTAACTGGAATCTACAGTCAGCAACATTACAATTTATCCAGATGCTAATGGACTAACTGTAAGCAGATGTTTGTTTATTCATGGACTTTTTAAAGAACATCATAAATAGTTCTTTGCAATCTGTAAACAAAACTCAAAGGATAATCTCAGTAGCTGATTTCTCTCTTTACAAGCAGAAGAAATTAATTCCTCTACCTCCCTTTTCTTTCACATGTCTCTCTCCTTGCCCTCCCCCAAAGTCTCTATTTCTTCTGTTATGTTCAAAACATTTTATCTGAGAAAACCAAGTCAAACCCAGTCTTTTATTCAATGACAGAAAGAAACATGGCCATTATCATGTTTAACATCCTCTGCTAAGCGATTTGGAAGAGAGGGTCATGTACCTAAAAGCAGCCCTTTTCTCTCCTGAAGCTTCCTTTTCGGAGTGGAAGTGCCATGCCTATAGAGTAAAACAGCCTTCTAGGAACACTGGAGTATCAGAAGGGGGGTTTTGTGATGCCCTAGTGAAAAACCCAGAAGCAGCAATCTACCATGGCTTTGTGGTAGACCTAAAAATCTATGGGACACCAGTGCAATGTGTAGCCAGTGGCAGAGCTGACTGCTGGTGGTGGTGGGGCAGTGGGCTTCTCCTCTCCGGATTAACAGCGCTTTATTCACAGGTACTAAAAGTATAGTTGTATCTACCTCTGCGTGCATTTTTAGGTAAAAGTCCGATTTGGATGTCAAAGAAAAACAGTGAGACCCCACCTAGATATTTTCCTTAAGGATGTAGCATAAACTTTGGACTGTTAGACTTTCTGTACCAGAGACACATACAGTTTAGTGGGAGGAGTCACAATTTCTAGATCCTCAGTAGATTTTCTTTTTGTCCACTGGCATAATCTGTAGCTTGCTCAAGGTTCAGAGTCCATCAGCTGCCTCATCTTGCAGGGTCATGTCAGTCAGTACAGCAGATTCATAGCTGAGACATTGGGGGTTTTTTTGTTTGGTGGTGGGGTTTTTTTGGTTTTGGTTTGGTTTTTTTTGTTTTGTTTTGGTTTTTTTGTTTTTTTGTTTTTTTTTTTTAAACTCAGGCTGTCACTCCCACCATACCTATCCAAGCACTCTCCTAAAGCTCCATGCTGGCTTTAAGAAGAATGGTGGCAAGAGGTGGCAGAGAATGTATTTTTGCAGATTTTCATAGCTGACTACTCTTCAAGACGTGGGCACTGTGAACTGTAACTCTGCAAACCATTCATGGACAAAGCCATAATTCTGTCACACATTACAATACTAGCGACAAAATAGTTGCCCAGACACCTGAGAGGTGATTTAGACCAACAAGTCATTTCATCTAGATGAGGAGAAAACGAGAACTGGGGGTGCAAAGAAGATACTTGGTTTGACAGCACAGAGGCAGCTCTGTTACCCCACCACCTAAAAACCTACCACACAGCAAATGCGTATTTGGAAGCCTAACCTGCCTAGCGTAAGTTTGGCAGAAGCAGAGTAGTTTATACTGAGTGGTATTCTGCAGAAGCCACTGTACCCACAGACTGTTTAGAGGTGAAGCTGCACGCATATCAGACTGGGCAATACTTGGCGTACTGAAATGAAGATGCCAACTGCAAGCACTCATCGCTCAACAGGGCTGCAAGTTCGAGAACTTGTTCAAAGCAAACCCTACAGATACCATCAGTAGCCCATAGTGTGGCTAGCATGTGTTAGCTCTAGTAGCCATTCCTAGTATGTAGATCCCCCATACCCACTTGATTTAGACAAGCATTTTTCCAAACATGATCTTATCTTTACAGAATCCAGCAGTTTAGCTAACTGAAGGTTACTAAAAATATTAAAAATTGCTCTAACATGTACAAACATGCCTATTTATAGCGTTTCATTTATTAGCCTTGGGGAGAACAGGAGCAATTTCTGGTAACAAAGCAATGCAAAAAACATTAAGAACAGTATTGCTTGAGAATGACCTCTAATGCTTACCGAAGATCAAGACCCTGATTTTGCCAGATGTTTTCCATAATTCTAATTATCTGTAGTGTCAGCATGTCCTGACGCAAGTCTGGAATAGTCAAATACATTGAGATTGCAAGTTTCACAACACCAGATCACTTCGTTACATTGTATTTTACCTTTCTGTCCTGACGCAAGTCTGGAATAGTCAAATACATCGAGATTGCAAGTTTCACAACACCGTATTTTACCTTTCCCCCCAAAAGTATGTCTAAAGGAAATGAGGCTTGCACAGTTTAGCACAGGTTCTCTTCTCTCAGAGAAAAGCAGGTTTTAAATAGTTGAGAACGAATATAAATTTGTGGTGGTGATTTCAAAGCTATTTAAAAATATACACTAAAAACATGACAATGGAATTACAGATTACATTGTAAGATCTAGAAGACATTTTCAAGTAAAAAAGCCCAAAGGATTAAATAGTGTCATGTTCCACCTCAACAGACCGAGTATCTTAGAACATACAAGTTTTTTTACCAGAGACAAATACTTATGTATGCTTAATTTTTCTGGAAAAGAAAATTGGTTTGCTCAGATGACTTTTTTCAAGTTTTTTTTCACTATATGTATTTTACACGCTTAGGAAAATACTAAACAGTAAGTTAGGAAAATAAACAGATGTGTAGCTTTTGGACTACACTTATTTTTTCTTACCATCTCCATTTTTAAAGATTATCTCATTGTTCTGAAATAACAATTCAGACATTATATCTGGGTTTTCCCAGTTCAACCACAGGGGCCTTTTTGCAGATGACATTATCCTGCACTCCTCAAGCCTATAAAAGAGAAGATGTCAATGAAATGGGCACAATTTGATTCTCAGATCATGTTTCTGTAATTCTCCTAAGTTCTCCCTCTTTTCTTCAAACTTCATGAACTCATATGAAATTAGAGATGCACAGGTAACCAACAATCAGCCACTTGCACTTTCAGCTTCAAACTTAAATCACTGCTGTCACCTTAAAGCGACAGCTAACTGTCATGCCATTCCCTAATTTGTTAAACCATTAGATTGAAACTACTTGACTCTTTATGAATTACCTTGCCACAAATGTTATTCAGTTAACTTCGAAGATACCAACATTTAGTGAGTTAACACTTAGCCTGAACATTGTTACTGTTAATGTTACTAAGCATTTACAAATTTCAAAACTGAAGACAATTCAAAACTGAAGACAATACCGAAGATTTCCCAGTTGATGCGCAGGGTTAAGAGGAGAGATAAAACCTTGTAAGGCATCCATAAAATCTGGCCGTCTCATTTGTTCAACAAGAAACTTCATCTGTACCTGATAGATAAATAATCACATTTGAGTTCTGAGAACGCTAATTACATGTAAATGAAGGTAAGCATCAGATTTTAGCTTTGGTTTTAAAGCATGATTTTGCACAGTTCCAACATAAGCAACTCTGCTTAGCCACACATTACACAAACTGAAACCCTTACTGTAGCTCTAGTGCCTTAAGAGGCAGGCAATGGCAACACGCACAGAAATACTACAGCTTCTAGGATAACGTTATCTACTGAAATCAGCATTAATACTTTTCTAGTTAATAAAATAAAACACAGTTTTAATTCCTGTGACTCAACAGCAACAGTTTTGGTACGCGGACAGCTTATAATACCTTCTGGGTCTCATCTTTTTTTTCCTGCTTGAGAATATCTGTGAGGTTAATCAACTTCTCCATAGCCTCCACCTGCCTGCTCAGATGCTTTAGGTACATTCCACATGCTCGACAATAGGACTCCAGAAGCAAACCAAACCTCTGACTTACAGTTTTATTGTGCATTTCAGACCTACACAGAGAGGAAGAACAGTTATAGCTTAAAGATAAGACCACTCAGAGGTGTCAAAAACGAAGCTATACCTGTAGCACCTTCCCAAGGGCTGCTTGTAGATCCTTCTTTTCTTTTCGGGTAAAAAACTTGTATTGACCTCCCACAACTCATTTTGACAGGACTCATCAGCCTTCAGTACTTTACAAGTAATTCAGCACAGAGTTTACAGGCTTTTTCCCCATTCCTTCTTGCTCCATCCTGTCCTTCTCTACCCCTTGCCTCTATTCAGAGTCCATGCTTCCCAGAAACTCCACAGTAAGCCTCAAGCTTTCAATTTGAGTTCCAGATTTCTTTGCTGAGAGCAAAGCTAACCTGTTTCATTTTCTCCTTGTCTCATCTAGCTAATCCCGGTCTGGGGCCCCTCTAGTTTCCTTGTTCTTACCTACCCTCAGCCTTTGCACAGTCCTACAATACATTCCTCAAGTTAATCAGGCAACTTATTCGATTACCCTTGATTATTACCAAGGGAAGTAGAAAACTGAAAGCACAACAGAGATTCCTTGCTTCTTTTTCTGTGCCTGATCGCACTGTCTTAGAACAGCATGTTTAGGTGAGACCCAGCTACAATCCAGTATGCTGCGGGACGATTTATGCTTAGCCTTCTCAACGCCAGGAATTACAAAAGCCCATGTTATACTTAGTAAGGAGATATTTTGGTAATCTGTCCAAGCTGTAAACGGCTAACCATACGGGAGGCTTCCAGCAAGCTGAGATAGGCTGCCCTGCTCTTAGAGTAATCATCATTAGATAAGAAGTACAAGACTAAGTATCTGTTATTAGCTAGCTTTTGAAACCGCAAGGGATGACTTCTATTACCACACTATGCATTCAAACTCTTAACCAATATAAAAAAGCGTTAAGTGGTAATATTTTCCTAAAAAGGAACATTTAGTGTTTAGAACAGCTGATTGTTTACAGCTAACAGGAATCCCACAACCCCTTAGCATGGTATTAAACTTACTTTAAATGCCAGAAGAAGAAGTGTCCTATCCTTTGATTGGTCAGTGCTTTCTTGAGTAAAAATCTCACAAGCTGATTATCTAAATACTGTTCATATTTCAGAACCTAATTAAGGATAAAGAGGAAAGAAAATATCAACTGCAGTTATTATTTCTATGAACAATATGCAGATTAAAGGCAGTTAAATAAAAAGCAATCTATGTTTTACATTAAGTTGTGTAGAATGAGTGACCTTGATATTAATAATTGCATGTGTTAGGATCTGAACAGTATCTGCTAACACTGCATTGGCTGCCTCTATTTCAAGAACTTGCCATCTGATGCATCCTTTACTGTTACCAAATATTTTAGCCTCAGCTTGCTCAAAATTTTGAGAAGATACTTCTACTCATGCTTTACCATATGTTAGGACAGCTGAAATAGCTGCCTGTTCCAGTTGGTAGAACAGTTCTGCATCTCTGCAAAATCTTGGCATTTAATATCAACAAGCAGAACCATGGCACTACAGAAAATGAACTACATTTCATCTCCTCCTCCTCCTCTATAATCCACAATGCCAACAGATACTTTTGATGACCCTTTTTTCACATCTTAACTTGAGCTGTACTTTAAGCCTCCATCAATGTCAAATGTACTGAAAACGTTGAGTATACCAAAATACTTTATGTACCTGTACTAGCTGGATTAAGTACTGAGACAGTTTGTCATCTGTCAAGTACTTCTCTAGACACCGAACTGCAAAAGCTCGCACCATTGGATCTGGATAATTGCAGTCCAAAAGCTCCATTGCTTGCTCTGGCTTGATTGGAGGCCAATCTTTCACCAAACAGTACATCTGTGGACAAGAGGTCCAAGCACATCACATGTTTGCATTGATTAGGAAGAAGTTGTAATACACAGCCATTAGAAGGTATCATCAGACACAAACTGCTTCTGAGTAGAAGCTGTTTACTTGCCAGTGCTCTCTCAATAAGCTGACTTTGTTATTTTATCCACTATGAAGAGAATGAAAACAAAACCTCACATTTAACTCTAATTGACAAATGGGTATCATAACAAGGATCCAAATAATGCCACCAAGAGGAAATCCTACAGCTCGGACTGAGGTAAAGGACATGCACTATGGACCAGACTGATCAGTCAATTGTAGTGGCAACTTGAATCACCTAAGCTTTCTTTCAATGCATCACGCACACATAGCATGTTTTTAACTTGCAGAAGTTTTCTTTAGTATAGCATATTTTAAAGCTCTTCAAAACTTAACACTTCTTCAGTGCTATGTGTTACCTGGGCCACTTCATCTCTAGAATTCCATTTAACAGACAGAAGTAATTTGGGCAGAATTTCTGGAGTATTCACGCAATAGTGTCTGTAAAAGAGAAAGAAGTTGTACGTACAAAACATCATTTTTGCATCAATAACCATCTATTACGTCCTCTCAGTTTTGCACCTTTTTCTTAAAGATAGAGAAAGACTCAGAATCAGTCAGCAGAATCCAATCAATACCCTAAAGCAGTGTCAGGATCCACACATGAAGGTAAGACTGCAGTAATGGGGAAAACAAACTGATTCAACAGCTTACTTTTCTCCATGGGCTTGTGAACCAAGACACACACTGCAGAATGCTTTAAAAGCCTTTTCCAAAACACTAAGCCCAACAAACCCAAGACATCATAACAAATTTGGAGTGAATGGGTGAAGTTTGACTGTGACAAGGGTTTTTCTTTGGATTTTGTTTTTAAATACCTATGGCTCCAGAGGAAGTCCTTCTCTTGCTCAGTGATCTCAGACAACGGATCTCTCGTACAGATGGCTCGCAGTTGCTCCTTGTCACTTTCTCTTAATTCGTTATCTCTAGCTATTCTGTTACTCTGCAGAGGGAAAGCAGTCATTAACCCTCCACACATTTCCTTCTGTTGTCATACAACATACATGAAGTATACAGTGTTTTAACAGCATAGCAACTTATAGCCTATGTCATGCAATACTATCTTGTTGTTTCCTTCTGATATAAAAATACAGATGAAAGACTAGGCCTTTGATTTCCCCAACTGCTTTTAGTCACTACTGGGACAAGAAGAAGTACATTTCAACCGAATCAGCTGTGTGGAGAAATAGCAGCAGTTGACATCCGATGAATGACATAATGCAGCACAAAATGAAACTGGTCATGTCTGTCTCCAGCTTTGAGATTACAGAGAGCTGCTGCAAGGAGCGAAAAAGAATCAGAACTGAAAAAGCAGAATATGGGGGATGAAGCTAGGTAAATAAAAGGTAGAACACTGTAGGAAAGCCTGAGTAACAGAAAGGCTGGAAAACATTAGCAAGAATTAGCACAAGACATTCCCCAAAGAGCACAGAAAACAGAACCGGTACACGCTGAAATTAATTGCATCCAAGACTTGATTTATTAGAACCAGCTTAGACCAATGGCGGAGGTATTGAAACTACTACTACTAGATTTTTCACAGCTCATGTGCCGAGTTCAATTTTTCTCCTATCCTTTCCATTTCTTAGTTCATTTAAGGTGTTTTTTGCAAAGGAACATACGAAATGATGCAGTTTGAGGTTTCAACTACAGAATCATTTGCATTGTAAAAAAAGAGAAATCTTAAGCAGCTTATATTATTGCCTTTAGTACAAAATGCAACGGTGATAGACAAGTTTGACACTTGATATGAAGTTATCCCAGAAATTCTATAAGAGTTCAACAGCAGGTTTATAGTGAACTCACATTTTCACACCTGTGTGATACCTACTGCTGCAAAAGAGTAAGATCAACTCTTTTCCAAGTTCAAACTGTTTAAACTGTAGAACCACAGCATTTGATCTCCTGTTGGGCTCTCTCCCTGGACAATTCCTACTGAGCACATTAAACAAGATAATAAACAGGAACGAGCTGAGCTTTGTCTGCTTTGTGATGGGAATTTTCAACGGGTTGAACTAGGACTTCGAAACAGAAATACCTACACGTCTTTTACAGAAAGTCCTTGCAATGCATCTAGCTTTAAAACAAAAAGAAAAGAAAAGCCGAAGAAAAGAACAATCTGAAATTTCCAGGCCGGAGATCAAGGCGCCCTCCAAAAGGTGAAGTCGTGCTATTCCTAAGAATAAGCACAAATATAGAAACAGTTGTCAGGTTATACCACATGGTACCTACTTCAGACTGAGAGGTCTCTATTCTACATTCATCTTTAGTTACATAAGTTACGTGTTCTCGCAGTGGGTTCACTACTGTTATACAGGACAAGAATATTTTGGCCTTCAAGCTTACATCTACCAATATTAAGGTACGAATCAACCAGCTAGCAGGATTTTTAGTACCTTGCCCTGTTAGTAGCGCAATAGTGAGATCTTAGTGCACCAACATGTTTTTTTATTACCTTTCTGAAGCACGTGGACTGGACTTAGAAGCGGGGGAAAATTATTTATAACTACTCTCTATGTGGCACAGGAACATTTCTAGAACGCATTCTTAAGCATTATTGTAACAGACACAGTGCAAGCAGCAAAGCCAGAGTCATTCTGTAAGGAAGTTAATGGATAAACGACTTCATAATCACCCTACTCCTGGCATAAGATCAAATAGTTAATATTGAACAAGTGATTAATTGTACATATTCATCTTGATTCTGAAAGTGTCATCCTAAATAGTAAGTGAAAGTGAAAAAAAGTATAAAATGTACCTGCACAGTGGGTCAGAAAGATCATAGTTTAGGTCAAGCCCAGAAGGAAAATGCATTTATCCTGTTGTGGTCAACAGCAAAAACTTGAAATTCTATGAATTGTGGGACAGTAAATTAAATTTAATATTTAAAGATTCTTTCATAGTCTAGATATGGACCTACAAATGATCTCTTTTAAGTAAGTATTAATTGATTTTAAGTGCACTGTAATGTATTTCAAGTTAAACAAAGAAAGTTATGCTCTCTGATCATAACAAAAACATTTCTATAGAAATCATGCCTCAGCGACTGCTTCGCTGATTTTGACCATTTCAGACAAGGATTTTTTTACCTCTTTCAGCTCTGGCCAATGCTACACAGTAATCCAGTATCCGATTTCTGAATGAGTAACAACACATTGCCTTCTAACTCCCTAAATATAGTTAATATTACAAACAGCTATAAATACACACAGTACCCGAACATAGAAAGTTTGGCTTCAGTCCTGAAGATACCACACATTAAAAGATAAAGGGGACAAACACAATGCCAGGAGATAACTAATGATGTTCAAACTTACCAAGCATTTAATGAAATTATTTAAGAAAGGGTAAGTAATAAAAGGATTTTGGCAGACAACAAGGAGGGTTGAAAGAAAAGTGGCATGAATAATGAGAGAGACCAAAGCAGTGGTACACAGTTGGTTTCCCGGTCAACTCAGTCCCTGATGCAAATCCACTTTCTCCATATTTAACCAGTGTGACCACCTTCTACAGCATTATAAGGATCATTGCAAAAAGGAACAGGCAACAATTTAAGACTTATTCTACCTCAGAATGTTGAGTTTTAATTGTAAAGGTTTAGTTGATCGCTACTTTGATCACTCTCACTGAAGTGAGAGCTTATTCTCCTCACCATTTTCTATTTTTGCCTACAGATGGAACAAAGCAATGAGCTGAGCATATATAGGCCCAGGTAATAGGCTGTGTTATAGCAAAGGAATGGTATTTACCAAGCAGCCAGCTGTCTTTAAGCACTTACTAAGAGCGCTGCAGCACTGCTCAGTCACCATACATACAAGCAAATACGCTACTCAATGATGGACTTGCTGTAGAGTATCAAGAGAAACCAAATGCCTACAAATCCCTTTGTTCAAGATACGTTAGAAATCGCACCAGAATTCCCAAACTGGAAGCTTACTGACACCTACGCACTTTTTGGTACAGTGAAACTTTCCACCCCAAGATTTCTTCCACACAGACCACAAAGCTCTCTTGGGGAAACTCTCAACTCTTTGCGCCAGCCCCCAGAAGAAAATGTAAAACATACCAACCAATTTCATAGCCTTGTCCTTAAATACATAGCATTTTTAGCTTTACTGCTTGTCTTTTTTCCTCCTTTTAATCATCCAAAATTTGCTTTTAAGAAAGCTGCAAGCCTCACCAAAAAGCCAGCTGTCAACACGCAAATTTTCTTCACAGAAGAGAGGAGATAAAGGATTACACTCATGGGTATGCCAATCAATTCCCTTAGAATTCCCTGTATCATCGTCATAACTAGCACATTAAACAGCCACTAAAGAGCTATAAGCACCCTTAGGTTACAAAAGAAAGCCTACCTGTAGACATGAAAGTGAAAAAAACCAAACCAGTATCACTGAAGGAGAATTACAACTTTTGAGAAGTTAAACTAAGTGGTTTAGACATCTGAAGTAGCAATGTACAAACGTCAAAAAGGCCCCAACAGTTTGCACAGTAAGACAGTTTCTCTTTAAAATGTTTTGGTTGGTCAGTGAAGCATTAGGTCAGTTTACCAGTAACATAAAGAAATTATTACTCACTTGGTATATTACTCACTTTGCCAAACACAAAACAAAAAATCGATTTCTTGCTTTTACAATAAATCAGAGTACATGAAAAAGTTTGCTTTATCACTAATATACTGAGTAAAATAAATAATACTTTTGTATTTTAGTAGCTAATCTCAGAAGGGGAGTTTGCCTTACCAGCCCCGCATAGCTGTAGTTAAACCCCAGTTCACGCGATATAGTCCAATTGGCATGTTCTTCGATCACCGTCATATCTGGAAACTTTACAGGATTGCTAAACCAATCAAATTCCAGCTCTAAACATGGAGTTTCCTATATAAAGGGAATTTAAGTTACTTTTTCTGTTGAATTTTCTGAATTCTAATACAGCATTTTTTGAAAATGTACTCCTACAGAGGAAGCTGGCATGCAAATACTTACCTTATTTGGATTCGATCCAGTAACACCAATAGGATTCAACAAATCCTCCAGCCCATGAGGTACTGCCCAAAGATTCAAAGCCATTTTCCCAGATACAAGAGTGTCTGTGTAATCAAACATGTTTATATTTCCCCAAGCCAATGGACAGTGCTCCTTAAAGAGATTAAAAGATGATTTTTCAGTGCTATCTATTAATTACTGCAGAGTCAGAAAAAAAAAAACAACCCCAAACATTTTCACTCCAGAGCAAGCTGTTACATTCCCAGATTAGCTGAAAGCAGGTTGTGGAAGCTGTGCCACGTTTTTCTATGAATGACTGTCAACGCAGTCATTTTGCAGAACGATATCAAAACACTTGCAAGCACATGCCAACATTTTCCCCACATCAAAATATCTCAAGATGCTGGAGAAATTTTATTTGACAGAGACACAGACTTTTTACCAAGGCTCGTAGTGACAGGACAAAGGGCAACAGTTGTAAACTGAAAGAGAATAGGTTTAGAGTAGACCTAAGAATTGTTTGTTTATGATGAGGGTGGTGAGGCACCGGCACAGGTTGCCCAGAGAAGCTGTGGGTGCCCCATCCGTGGAAGCGTTCAAGGCCAAGTTGGGTGGGACTGAGCGGCCTGGTCTAATTAAAGATGTCCCTACCCATGGTGGAGGGTGGGGTGGGGTAGATGTGAACTAGATGATCTTTAAAGATCCCTTCCAACCCAAACTATTCTATGATTCTATAAGATTCATAAACCTGGTTACAGACCAAAAAACCCGATATAGTACCTGTGACACACACCCAAACCCAGAATTTAATGCTGCTGGTGACTGGAATTAGATGTCATATGTAGATCCATAAAAATTACTATTTGGGATCTTGCATCAAATGCTAAAGCAGCATAAGTTTTCTTTACTTTAAAAATCAACTAAAAAGAGGGCGCTACTTATACTTGATTTTAAATAAATAGGTAAGTACCTTATGGGTTAAGAAACTTGAGTTTAAAGGCACTTACACCTCAAAAGACTAACACTGGTCTTTGTCTGACAATATAGTAGAGACACAATTCCAGCACTGAAAGGATAAGCTCTTCTCCATGTTCTTTAATTTCTGACCACAAAAATGTGGTAGGCTGAATTAGATACAAGAAAAGAAAAAAACCCTATTTTAATCAGATTCAAATCAAACATTGGACTAAGACTCATTGCCAGGACAGCATTTACCAAGTATCTTCCCAAATTTGACTTAAGTAGCTTTTGTTCATTAGTGTATTAAAGCCATGAAGTATTTTACCTCTTTAGCACCCTTCCGGCCTTTAACAGAACAGATAGAAAGGCAGAGCCGAGCTGCACGGGGAAGGTCAGGAATGTACATATCATACAGTAGCCATTCATTCCATCTGTAGGATTTAAAAAGCAGAATAAAACCAGGTTAAAGGAGAGCATGGAGACAAGTGCATTCAATCAAGGGTTACACCAAAAAGCATTTGTTATATTCCTACCTAAGCTGTCTATATGCATAGAGTACACTCCTTACTGAAGGCGGGGGGGTCCTCCTACATGCATTTGACCACATCTACTCCTTTTGGGAATGGAAGCTTCCCTGATGAGCCTCCTAGCTCCAACACTGTTTAAAAAGTCATGCTACGTTCAGTTCCCGCAAACTTAGTAAATAGGTTCATTCCCTTGCACTCTGGCAAACCTGCTGACAGCAACTCTCAGTGTAGGCATAACCTAAAGATGGTGGATTTGCGTATCTGCCGCACTAACGCAAGGTTTAGCTTCTGAAATATTTTTCACTTCAGAAAAAAAAAAAGCAAGTGGAAAAAGGTGTGGCATATCAGAATTCACCTAAATCTGAACTGCTAGAAAATAAGAAGATAAGAGCAAGATAGGAATATAACACAAACTTAACACAGAAATCCAAAGCAATATTCTTAACTCAGCTATTATTCTATTTACCATAGTAATAAGAGCACAGATTGGTTCTACAGGAATACACATTTTGTTTCCATGACCTTCTCTAAGTAGACTTTCTCCCTCAACTGGTAGACCTGTGCTTTTGAAGAGGAACTTCTGAATATACTTTATTTTCCTAAGGGGACTGCCATGCTGAATTTTCTCAGTTGGAAGAGGCAGAGGCTTCCAAGGACAGCATTGCTTTTAGTAGCTACAGACACACTGAAAAATGAGAGTTTTACAAAGAAATAACTGTCCAAGCCTTTCTCCAAGAATGAAGAAATTGGCATATAACATTTAATTTTCCTTATATGTTCATTCATTCATATGATACAGATCTGTGTGATTATATCCATGTTTTCAAGCCACACCCTTCACCACCTTTCCAAGAAGACTGTGCCTCTAAAACAGTTGAACTCTCAGTTCAAGTACGGGTATTTTTGGGGAAACTCAGAAGAAAAAGCTATTTTTCCATAACTGTGAATATTATTAGGACCTTTTGTTACAATACCTAATCAAATAAATAGAAAGTGTACCCAGAAAAAATATTAATACATTTTCAAAGTTTCAAAGACATGAAGTCAGACAAAAAATGCAAGTCAGGAGTTACTCCTGAACACACTGCATCTTATCCAACCAGATGCTGAAATTTCACGCCTCCTCATTAGTCAAAGTTACAGGCAATAATTCAACATCTTCTAGATACTTCTTCTCAATATGTTTATATTTGCTCATATAAAGCTTCTTTTTGCACACTAACAGTGATTTTAAGTTCATGTGATTAATTTTTCCAGATAATATTCGTGGTAGGTCAAATCTCCTGCAAACAATCAGCCCAGAGCTGGCAGTGACTGCCCATGTTGACAGGTGACACCCATCTCTCTGCACTCAGCGGTTCTGCTTTGGTACACACCATGCAACCTCACCAAAACAGATTTGCAGGTTACATTACATCACATTGCCTCACGCTGAAGGCAAAATCTGAACCTGTAACTGGAACACCTGCTATTGATCCAGTCAAGACCAGAGCTCCATCACCCGGGGCTATGCCAATTTCAGTGGTAGTGAGTAATTACACTGGAGTTTCAGAGGCAACTGCAGACGCACAGGTAAAGTGGATCCATTCAGTAAAGAAACCACATTATCCGCAGCGAGACAAAACACATTTGAAGTAAATTAATTCTATTTATAAATATAGGGTTAGGTAAAAATGTTCTTCTAAAACTTCAGGCAAGGAATTCCCAGCAAGGAGCTCTACCTGAATAACGGCTAAGTCAAGCCTTTACTCTTTCAGTGCTATCGTTCATGATGCCCTGTAAGTCAGGTTCTCTAGAGTCATTCAAGGGCTTATCTTACCTGGGATTAGAACAAGGTACCCTCTGAGTATTCACATTGTCACACAAAGGTTCCCCTCCATGGTAGATACCTGTTCTAACATAGATCTGAAAGCAATGTTTATGTTAGTATTATCTTTGAAATGTTACTATAAACAATTTTTTCCACTGCTATCAACATATACCATAATTACAACATATTACCCTTTAATTTCCATCAAGTAAAAAACAAAACAAAACCGAAAACCAAACAGCCCCCCCAACCCAAATTCATTCACGCTCTGCAAGGTGTGAAGCACAGTATATGAGCATACATTTTAGAAAAAAAAGTTTGTCTTTTTCCTCATTAACTGCAAAACTAGTTTTTTTCAAGTTTATTTTTTTAATGAACTCTAAAAAAATGAATTTATTTTCTAGTCTTCTTATACCAAGCTATAGTGAAAGAAGAGACCAAACAAATTCTGAGGAAGTTAGAGAGCCAAGCTTGTAGTATGACTTCAGTGGGACTGAACCCTACCTCCCTTTTGAAAAGCAAGATAGCAGCACACTATCCAGCATCCCCTCACCAAAAGTATTTCCAATTACTTTAATACATTCTTAGACATAATAATTATTTAGAATATAAATAACAACATGGGGTTTGTTCTTCTATCCATTACAGACTCAGCTGAAGAGAACTATGCAAACTGAATTCTGCTCCTAGCAGGCAAGTTATTTAGCTAAATACAACTCAAGGCTCTTTAGTACTACACGAAAGTTTTCAGATGCTAAAACATGGCTGTATTTTTTAGAATGAATAGCTTAAATTTAAGTAACAGTGGTCTACTTTTCTAATGTGTTAAATAGCATCTCTTTTCCAATGTAAACACAGAACAGAAAACTCAGGAGGGAAACCATGAGTTGCTGAAAACCACATACGATGCTGTACATCATTTGCCTTACCTTGTCTATGTCTCTAATGTTCACATTTACATAGGTTGCACAGAGGATTTTTATTCTGAGAGCACTGTTTATAGTCCAGAGGGACTTGGCTGTAGCTTCTCCGTTCATGTAGGGCGTAGCTGTAGAGATACGCCTGGAATAAGACGGCATTGTAAAAGTGTCCAGTGGCAGCTGGGTATACAGGCTTTCCTTCGCCATCAGCATCAGATTGGGCATGCGGCCGAGCATTATACAGCTTCTTATATACTGCAAGAAAACAAAACCAAAATTCAGTATGTTTTCAAAGTGCACACTTTTGGTAATCTATACCTAAAAACATTCAGGAAAATATAAAAGTGTATTTGAAGAGTTATTGTCCCTGTATGTACACCCTTTACATGTTTACAGTAGTATATCGCACAGTAGTATACACGTATGGATTTTGAGATATGAACAATGCCTGCAATAGTGGAAGGTTGAACTGGAGATGGAGAACAGAGCCGACAAGTCAGGTTTCTTGCAGCACTCCTTAGCTCCGGCGCGGCGCAGCACAAAGCAGACCGCTTCCAGCTTAGAGCTGTTCCTGGAAGCAGCCAAGCTGGCTTTGCACACCCAGCACACCCCTGTGCGCCTCCTGTGCACACCCAGCACACCCAACCCCTGTGTGCCTCCTGTGCACACCCAACCCCATGTGCCTCCTGTGCACACCCAGCACAACTGACACCAGTACTGCGAGAGGCAGAGTGCACAAGGCCAGCGGCAGCAGACACGCTCCGGTTTTGGTCCGTTGGTCTGAAAAGCAAGATAGCAGCACACTATCCAGCATCCCCTCACCAAAAGTATTTCCAATTACTTTAATACATTCTTAGACATAATAATTATTTAGAATATAAATAACAACATGGGGTTTGTTCTTCTATCCATTACAGACTCAGCTGAAGAGAACTATGCAAACTGAATTCTGCTCCTAGCAGGCAAGTTATTTAGCTAAATACAACTCAAGGCTCTTTAGTACTACACGAAAGTTTTCAGATGCTAAAACATGGCTGTATTTTTTAGAATGAATAGCTTAAATTTAAGTAACAGTGGTCTACTTTTCTAATGTGTTAAATAGCATCTCTTTTCCAATGTAAACACAGAACAGAAAACTCAGGAGGGAAACCATGAGTTGCTGAAAACCACATACGATGCTGTACATCATTTGCCTTACCTTGTCTATGTCTCTAATGTTCACATTTACATAGGTTGCACAGAGGATTTTTATTCTGAGAGCACTGTTTATAGTCCAGAGGGACTTGGCTGTAGCTTCTCCGTTCATGTAGGGCGTAGCTGTAGAGATACGCCTGGAATAAGACGGCATTGTAAAAGTGTCCAGTGGCAGCTGGGTATACAGGCTTTCCTTCGCCATCAGCATCAGATTGGGCATGCGGCCGAGCATTATACAGCTTCTTATATACTGCAAGAAAACAAAACCAAAATTCAGTATGTTTTCAAAGTGCACACTTTTGGTAATCTATACCTAAAAACATTCAGGAAAATATAAAAGTGTATTTGAAGAGTTATTGTCCCTGTATGTACACCCTTTACATGTTTACAGTAGTATATCGCACAGTAGTATACACGTATGGATTTTGAGATATGAACAATGCCTGCAATAGTGGAAGGTTGAACTGGAGATGGAGAACAGAGCCGACAAGTCAGGTTTCTTGCAGCACTCCTTAGCTCCGGCGCGGCGCAGCACAAAGCAGACCGCTTCCAGCTTAGAGCTGTTCCTGGAAGCAGCCAAGCTGGCTTTGCACACCCAGCACACCCCTGTGCGCCTCCTGTGCACACCCAGCACACCCAACCCCTGTGTGCCTCCTGTGCACACCCAGCACAAGTGACACCGGTACTGCGAGAGGCAGAGCGCACAAGGCCAGCGGCAGCAGACACGCTCAGTTTTGGTTCGGTTGTGCTTAGGACCATACACTCGCTGATGCCGACAGACTCCAGCTGTAAGCCTGCATGGTGGCCCTTCAGGACTGAGTGCTGAGAGCACTTCGTCTGGCAACAGCACCACAAGATACAACGCGTTAAGACAGGGCCAGCCCTGGAGCGTAATTAGCAAGCTCTTCTGCAGCACAGTAAAGGCACAGCAGATACTTCTGAAGAAGCTACGCTAGATCAAATAGATCGAGTGTTTGATCTCACAATGACTGTGCAAAATTATTCATGTATGCCTGTGCTTGTTCCCCAGCTCCCACAGAACAGAGCTGCTTTTCCCATTATTCAGGGTCCCCCAGCCCTTTCTCTCCCCCAGGGCTCTGTGGAGCAGATCGCCAGCCGTTTCAGCCGGAGGAATGGAAGCCCTTCATTACAATGCATTCCTCCAAGAGGAAGCAGCAGCAGCCGGTCAGGAAATCTACAGGGTAACGCTGCTGCCTGCTCCAGAGAGGGCTGCCCAGATGCTCTTCTGTCAGCAGTTCTGTCTCGCAGCACTAACAAACCCGGGCAACGAAGGACAGGCAGCCCCAAGGAAGATTTAACAGTGATTTACTTAGTGCTGGAAATCTATCGCTCCTTTATTACAATCAAAAAACGTAGAGAGGTAAGTAACAGGAAAATAAACAGTTTCTTTAGATTTTTTCCCCACCCCTAAAGGGGGTAGCAGCGGTTGCCTCATAATTTAACATCTGATTGAATTTCCTTCTGTACTACATGAGCCGCATTCAAGCATAACTCATCTCTTGCCATCAGAAATCCAGGATATTTCTCAAAGCACCTCCTGCTGATTTATCACTAGTGTTAGAGGTAAACTACTGCATTCAAAGAAGAAAAATTACACCAGTGATACAAACCCAAGTTTAAATTACTTCTTCTCTCTCCCCTCTTTTGAAGCACATAAATCAACAAATAGGCACACTACACTCACACATTAGCCAAGTAGTTTAAAGACACATACATTTTTACTTCCTATCTTTTGGATTAATTTAATGGAAAAGCAAGCCAGTCACAAAATTGATCACTTTTCTCCCTCACAAATTTGGATTATTTTAGTGCATTTCAAAATAAATCCACTCTGTTACTCACCTTATACTGGCTCAGAGGGTATTTTTCTAGCAAGTATTCATCACAGCCACATACTTTTAAAATATATTTGCCCTGGTACTCCAAGACGCAAAGTTTCAGTTGTTCAGACGACAGCAACATACTTCGCGTTTTCTTCCTTATTGCTTCAGCAATAACTTGCTCAGGCACACAGTCGTGATTGATTTTTAAGGTGTATTTCTGCTTATCGTTGTTTGGTGAGACTATTACCCATATCACCACTATGATTTGCCCTAGAATGAACGTAAAATAACATTAGACCTACCATTTTCAATACAGTTTCAAAACAAAACAAGAAAACCCCCCAAACAAACCTCAAACCAAACAACTGCCACCCCCCCAACACAGAGAATTGCTTGCAGTACTACTGAAGGAAGACGTAGACAAGATTCACAGCCCAAAGCGACAGAGGGTTCGGAACTCCTGCAAGGAACTACGCATGCTCAGTTTAGTTTTGATTCTAGTGCAAATTTAAACTTTTACCCCTTGAGGCTAAGAATATTTTTATTAACTGAATACTAATATTTGGCCTTCAAGAAAACAGCAGTAACTTTCATATTTGAGGACTGCAAGATAACTCTGTGTTTTAGCATCATTTAATTCCAGATTTCTGAATGTCAGAAAAAAGAAAAATGAAGCCAACAAGCTGTTTCTGCCCATTAAAAAAAAAGTCCCCCCTATTCACCAAGTTATATTTCAAGATTTAGTTATTACAATAGCAAAAAACGTAATTTTAAGTGTTGTCTTCCTTCTGAATCTACATTCTATCAAGAAAACTATTCTTAACTTAAGGTGTAAGATGTTGCTAGAGTGTACTAAACGCAGCACATAAAACAGTGATTTACCTAAGTCACCAGCTGTACTCTTTGATTTCAAGGTCTGAAAAACCCATTCTGCTTCTACTGTAAATATTTATCTTACCTTTATCAAGTTTATTGTATATGTGTTTGGGTAGCTCAGATGAAGACTCCACATTTGGAGGACAGACATATAATGCTCTGCTGTGTGGTGCATTGGCATCTCGGAGATCCACTGCTTCTTTGCAAACATTAAGAATATTTCTTCTGAAGTCTTGTACTTCGGGATCCTTAACCATGTCAAATTCACAGACAGGCATGCCAATAGCAAAACCTATAGTATTGAAGAAGCACGAGGGAGTAATTGTAACTGATAATTAAAGCTAAAGATACCTTCTATCAGCAACAGAAAAAGCATACTTTAAGCAAAACACAACCTAAAATATATGTGTTAACCACTGGCTTCTACTTGTATAGACAATTGATTTATTTAATCCAAGAACAACTGTTCTTAAGTGCACTCAGCAGTCACAAAGAAGGTTAGAAGACAGGTATACGTTCCCTGAAGCCCCTGGAAACCTTAAATCACCGCCTCCCACCGCTAACACTCCTCCTGGAAGAGAAGGACCAAGCACAAAGTTTCCTAAGTGGACCAGAGGAGCTGTGATGTCTGATTTTTTTCCTAAAACCTTGGCAGGATTACTGGTTGCTATTAGGACCATAATCAACTTTGCTTACACCTGAACGACAGCTATTCAATGTTTTTGATGAACTATGCTATTTAAAAATGCGACAAGCGCTTCAAGAGATACTGAACTCAGCTCTTCAGCAGAGTCGTGCAACGAGAGTCCATTTCTCTAAAGTCCTCTGTCTCAGCTGCAATTCCATTTACTTTAGTGAGATTACTTGCATAAATAGTTATTAATGGATGCATGATCAAATGGAACCTTTCAGCTGTCCTGCTGCACGGTTAGCTAACCACTGCTCTCCTTAAGTCTTGAACAGGCTAAGCTTTACAAAACAGAAGCAGTTTACCTATGATGCACTCATAGCAATTAAATAATTTAACAATTAGGAGGACCCCAGAACAAGTATTTCCAGTTGACGAGTCTCTCCCACTGCCGTGCACATCTGTTAGCAATAGAAGGGAGTAGGCACACTTGTACTGCCTGAATCTGGATACTTGACCGGGGTGCTGAACACACACTAGCCTCCCTGGGCTTCCTCAACCCGTAATGGAAGTGATAAGCTACGCCAGAGACGATTCAAAACATTAGTGTCTCTCCTCTGCCCCTCTGCCTCAGGTGGTTTTGTTTCCCTCCCCATGCTCTTTTGGTAGGAAAAGGGGGAAAAAAAAAAATCCCACCTCGTTTCTGAAATTTTACTTTCTAAGCAAGATAGAGCATGATTAACATGTGTGCTATCACAAATGTGGTTTAAGATTTATAATTAAATCCAGAATTTACCATTCTGTAAACTTCAAAACGAATTAAAACTGAATTTCCAAACAATAGAACAGGCTTCGCTCTGTAATAATATGAAATCCTGCTAATAAGACACAAGCAAAAAAATATCCTAACCCACATACAACTATAAATATGCACAAAACAAAGACTTTACATGTGACAGAACAGGGGAAAAAAAGTTTAATTCACAGTTTACGGATGTCAGCTTTACTATAATCAGCATCTTTGGACATTGATGCAACAACTGACAGTTAGGAAATGCAAACTTTGACAGATACAGGTGACAAACACAACCCATGTCAATTCTTTGGTTTGTATTTTGAAGAGGAAAAGCCAGTTAAACAGACAGGCTGTGTTTAAATAAAGATAATCTCACCTATTTCTCTATTGAGAATCTTTTCTTCTCTGTTACCTACTGGTTCAATGACTTTTAGGAAAGGCTGAAATAGTCGCAGGTCACAAAGTCTCCGTGTTTCATCAAAAAATTCTTCTCTTTCTGCTTCCTGTGTAACACTTACAAAAATGTAAGAAGATTCATCTTGAAGGAGCTGATAGAGAGGGTATTTCCTCGCTTCTTTAAAGAGCTCGTGTTTAATAGTTAGTAAGGTGGCCTCACGGAGGCATTCCAGAGTCACTATCATTCCATTTGGGAGAAGACACTCCACAAGGATCCTCGGTGGCATCAAGTGGATGCCCCATAGTTCACCAGATGATGGTCGTGGAGGCATTTTTGAGTCTTTAGATAACTTTGTACTGGAAGTTTTTCAAGCAGTGATTCGTACGAGTAAATCTACGTAAAAATCAGAAATGTCAAGTATTAAAATTTCAAATACAAACATCGCAAGGAATTTCAGATACAACTGTTCAAACACTGCTTATAATTGTAGGTGAATATTCATGGCTATATTTTACATGCATAAAAAAGACTTGACAAAACTGATGTTTAACGAACTTGTACTTGATTTAAATATCTACTCAAATAAAACAGTTAATAGCAGAATCACATTAGTTTAGAAAAAATGCCAATATGCACATGGTCTTAAGAAAACAGATTATTTTTTTTTTTACAAGAAGTTTATAATTTATGATTACAACACTTGAATAGCATGGGGGATGAAGATAACCAATATTCAAGTTATTACCACCTCAGTTCTTAAGCAAATCTTAAGCCCAGTTCTTCACATTTTTAACTTGGAAAGAGAAGCATTATCATCTGGATGAGATACAAACCACCAGCTCTGGTCAGGATAGCCAAACCAATGCTTCCATTTTTTTCTTCTTCTCATCACAAGCCTCTTAAGCATTCCAACATCACTAAGACAATAGTTACAAGTATTTCCCCTAAAGCCTCTAAACTTGATTTTAGGAATCCATGTACACACAAAACTTGGCCTTAGCTTTTTTTTTTACATCAGTATAAGCTACTTACACCAGGAACAACCCCTTTTTTCCATGAATGAGACAGAAGAACTGAGCTCCATTAACACTTTTCGGTTGGGTTTGTTTTATTTAGGATCAATTCCCTGTTCTAGTTCCCGTTGGCGGCCACATGAATGCCTTTGCCAAGCCAAAGGAAAGGAGGGGAACCTGTGTCTGACCTTCCAGCAGCGCTGCCCTATGCCAGCTTAGAGCAGGTACAAGAAAGATTCTATCTGGACAGAGCAGAGATATATAAAAGATATATATGTAAAAAAATAAAATCACGACCCTCATTTCTACACTTCTATGCCTTGGTACTTATTTTCTGAAGTTTTCTTCCAAGCACATCCTGTACCTGCTTTTGCCATACTTCAGTTCTCAAAAAGAAGCATTAGAATGAAAATGATGTTTTCCTAAATCCACTGCTTCCTAAGCAGCTCTGAGTAGCAATAGGGTTGTCTTTTTTTAATCCCTCCTTTGTAGTTGCAGTTTGGGCTTTCAAAAATACCAACAAAAGTACTGAAGTGCCACCGCAGGTTTAGAAAAATGCTTTTCCACTAACACCTCATGCATATTTAGAAGGGCTTTGCAACTGACTTCTTTTAAAAAAAGAGCTTAAATAAGCTATTTTATTTTCCTCATCGTTATAATGGTCTCAGTGAGCGGATGCTGAAGTTCTAAGCACCTCACAGTGGACTTAAAGAGCCAAACTTGGAAAGCTTACCAATTACAGAACATTACAAATGAACCCAAATAACACCACTTAGAGTAACTTGGAGACTTCTGAATTACCAATAACTATCCTCAGTTTACAGATAAAAAGAAACACACAGAAGGTTAAATAGCATCTTTTTGATCAGGCAAAGCACGAGCAAGACTCCCTCTCCATACCGGTGAATCACATGCTTATTTATATTTCTTAATTAAAAGCATAGACAGAAACACATTACTGTTAAGGCACATACCCGCATGAAAAACACCAAAACAAGAACGTGCAGTCCTAAGAACTTTTCTGTCCGCACACACAAACAATGATAATACAGATGGACCACTACATATATTCATAACACAGACTGAGTTTATACCAGCAGTCTTTTAAGTTCAGTTCCACAACCCAGTTGAGGCTCCTCTGACCTGAGGGCTGCAAGAGCTCACCTCCTCCCTGCCCAAGACATGAGTTCTTGTTCTTCATCGTGCTGGCACCAGTGCCCCCTGAGCCAGCTCAGTACAGGATCAGATGATTAAAGTGGCAGAGAACTACTCACTTTTCCTTCCCTGGGTTCGTTTCTGCCATTTTAGCTGTCCTTATTGAGATCACCAAGGAGTTGGGCGAACACCAGTGTCTGCGCTGGAGAGTGAGCACAACTGCAGCAGCACTGAGCTAACTCACCTTCAAAAATCCCAGAATCCCAAACTGGCAGGGGGTGGAAGGAACCTCTGGAGCTCACCCAGTGCCACCCCCCTGCCCAAGCAGGCTCACCCAGAGCAGGGGGCACAGGACAGCGTCCAGGCGGGGGTTGAAGATCTCCAGAGAAGGAGACTCCACAGCCCCCCTGGGCAGCCTGGGCCAGGGCTCGGGCACCCTCACAGTCAACAATTCTTCCTCCCGTTCAACTGGAACCTCTTCTGCTTCCGTTTGTGCCCATGGCCCCTTGTCCTGGCCCTGGGCACCACTGAGAAGAGTCTGGCGCCATCCTCGTGCCCCCCACCCCTGAGATATTTGTATGTGGTGATGAGATCCCCTCTCAGCCTTCTCTGCTCCAGGCTGAACAAGCCCGGCTCCCTCAGCCTTTCCTCGCAGGAGAGATGCTCCAGTCCCCCCATCAGCTTTGTTGCCCTCCTCTGGACTCTCTCCAGGAGTTCCTCATCTTTCTTGAACTGGTGGTTCCACTGCAAATTTTCCCTCCCTCCCTCCCCACCAATACCTGCTAACAAAGAGGCAGGACTGGGGGACACACATATATATTAAATCCTTTTAGACAAGTATCTTTTAAAAATAAATGTCAACAGTGGCTTTTTAAAAATTTCAAACATTAAATGCCAACTCAGTACCACTGCTTCATAGATTTGCGAACTGTCCAAAAGGAACGTCCCAAAATCTACACTCTTTTAGAGCAACTCCACCAAACCAGCAACTTTTGGTTTAAATTGGGATAGAGATCGGTACTGGAACAGTGCATGTAGTCATTCTGTGTGCACATTCATTTTACTTGCACATGTAAGCACGCCTCCAGGGTTTGGATTTGGAAAGCAAAAATGTAAACAGAAGCAGTTCTGAAGTATAGTTGGCAGCTTGTGTTTCTGTGTACACTTTCAAATCTGGAAGGCTGCCTGGAATAAATAGAATCAATTATGTTCTTCGACAGTAAAAGGACTATAATTTTAAGGGAATTCTAGAGTGGTGTTATTTAAATCCAACTAAGGGTGCATGCAAACACTTCAAATGAACACCACATCACACCTGCAATCCCCAACTTTCCAAAAACACCTTGAAGCTTTTTTCCCCCTGCCAAAAGCTCTGGGATACCACAGATGGTCAGAAAGGCCAAGCTGATCAAATGGCACTCTCTTCACCCCATTACAGCCTTCCTCATCCATCCAGCACATGCTCCATCACAAACCTCGCTGAGCGCCCAACCTAGCAGCGGTCACATTTTGAAACTCCATTCAAAAAGAATAGAAGTACATGTAGGGAGAATGAGGGAAGCTAAGCCACAGGGCTCCCAAAATACAGATTCCTACCTGCTTCCAGATACACTTATATTTATTTATAGAATCTATTTACTTACAGGATAGAAATCTCCTACAGTCAAACAACTACACCATTTAGAATAAGGGATTCCAAGTTTAGAAAATTGTTTTTTGGGAAACAATGAGAATTTTATCACCTCACAGCACTGAACCGTGCAGAACTACAGTGGCATGGTTAACTCAATCTCATTCTATTGAATATTACAAGTTACAGCCTACAATTATTTTCCTAATGCCTTCTCGATAACATACAAATATGTTAACTCTGAAAAGGTTTACGTGAGACCAGCATTAAGTTTGCTGCTGCTTCTTCTGGAAAGAATTCCTTCCCCTTGAGGAGCAGAGCTCAGTGAAGGAGAAATTCAGTAAGAATTGTACTGCAGGAGAGTTAATGTTGGTTCCTAACATCAGCACTCAAAGAAGGATTTTCTATGTTCATTATTTAAACAAACTAAGCTTGGGACAAGTTAACTTGAGTCAACCCCCCCCATATATGCTCCCCTAAAGACACCTGAGGCTCCTGCAGCCGTTTTCACCGCACTTTTACAGATAAAAGCCCTGTGCACCCATAGCTTGGCAGGACACCCTGGCAGCACTTCTTCCACTGCAAGTGGTTTTGTACGTTAACATTTTGCCAGAAGTCTCAAGCAGGAGCGTCGCTGATCCAAGTCTTACGTGTCTTGCTGAAAGGAAGGACTGGCACCCTTCAGTACAGATGGAATCTACGGTACAAGAACAGGCAAGCGAGAAATGGCCTCTCATGAGCTCTTCTATCAGAAAGCATGGAGAACCCTTCCTTGCTGAGAGAACACATTTTTACAGTTTATCTGTTTACAGATTAGAGGAAGTGAATTGATTTTCACTGTCTAGAGATTACTCACAAACATTCTACCAACTCCACATAGATGTCAATATTGGGCAATTAAGATTATATATATAAAAAAGCACCCCACCCCCTGGTTAACCGATAAGGCTTTTTTTCTATATTTTGTAAATTATCCGTGGGCATGTTCTCCAATGAGAGGAACTCCATCTAACATTAACACAAATGTCTTATAAAGCAGGTGAAGACCCACTGTGCAAGTCTGCAGGCCAGTCTGGGTGCGGGGGGGGAATATTTGTTCTCTTTCGGATGCTTATTGTAAAGGTTCTCTGTCATCAGCACAAGCACCTTCGGGCTCTGCAAGAAGGAAATTCTTCCATCTGTGATGAACCAGCTAGCAAGAAATCTAGCAAGTGTAGAAGGAAGCAAGAGGCAGAAGTGTGCTGCGCTCTAATACTGTATTAAATGTACAAAGTACAGGATGCTCATGCAAAGAGGTACACGTTCCAGTGACTGAGAACTGAATAATTCTGCATTGCTATAAACATCAGCTAGTGTTTCAAAATCAATTCAAAGTGACAGACTAAACACTCATTACAATTTCATCAGTCCACACTTGAAACTGAGTTAGTCATTCAGTAAACTACCACACTTTAATTGAAGTCCATTAGTTTTTCCAGTCATAAGACAAATCCCATTACACTGCTTTCACAGACAGGACACAGCAATGTTTTATAATCATTTGTGGTATATTTGGTATCAAAGATCTGCTCATTAGGATTTGTGTCTAGATTTAATTTCCAGGTAGAAGTCCCCTCCGGACTCTTAGTATTGCCTTAAGAAAAAGTCTTCTACTCATTAAGCAATCCAGCTATGTGTATAGATTCTCATTTACTGCACATTTGTGCATGGGTTATAGGATTTTCTTGATTCCCTGTCAAACTGACAGAAGCATCAGCTACAGAACTGTCCCCAAATAAGCTTTTTAACTTTTGTGGAATGCCCAAAACAAAAGTTATAGGGGGAAAAAAAATTCCTGGGACAAGAGTAACACTTTTCAGAATGCAAAGCTTCCATTCCACTTGGTCCCAGACATTTCAAGCTTTCTAAAGACCAAAATCCTTCTCATCTTCAGACACATCAGGCACTCCAAAACTCATGATGAAAAAGACCAGGCAGAGTTGCCTGCCTAATTTTGCTGCTGTCCAAACCTGCTGTGTGGTGACAGCAAGGCTGCCCCACACTAGATATTTTCAGTCCTGTCCTTTTGTTCTTCCTGCTTGCCAAGCTGGCATTTTTCCAAGATCCAGGGAGACTTAGTACAAAGACATCCGAAATTGTCCTCTATGAAAACATTACTACACACAGATTTAAACAGTAGCAATGTTGCTTTGGTTTGACTAGAAAGCAGGAGACTGGCATTGCAGTTATGTCTTCACAGTTCTTACGTATTACTGTCATCCTTACGATTTCACAGAAAACGCACAGATACACGGAATTGCTTATCTGATCCCAAGCAGCAGCTCAAGGGGAACAAACAAACAGAAAGATTTAACAGCCGAAATAACATCATCTTAGCATTTCATTTCCTTCTGAAACAGGCAAGTATTTCCAAACACTACCAATTTTATTTATAGTTACCTATTTCTCCCCCCCCCTACAAAACACAGTGCTATGTACTTCACCTTGGTCTAGACAGAGCTAAAAAGCCTAACATTAATGGTAGCATCCGTGGAGTGATAGTGCAACAGAGATACGGGATCATTCTTTTCTGTGAATGTAAAATCACACTGGAAATCAGTGGAAAGAAGTTTCAGTTTAGTTAGACATGAGAACATGGATTGACTTAGGGACAGAGTTTAGTGGTGGGATGGCAGGGTTAGGGTAACAGCTGGACTTTATGATCTTCAAGGGCTCTTCCAACCTAAACGATTCTATGACTCCATTTCAACACTGTTTTCTTTACAGTTATCTTACATGCAAATTTTTTCTTTTTCCAGAATATAATATTCTTGGATTCTGGCTGTAGTGGCCTTCAGATACCATGAATAAAATTAATGGTGAGGTCATCCTGAAAAAAACCAAACCAACTCACTATAAAGTATTGTCGGAGAGGTAATATGTAAGTATGTTGTCTGCTACTGGAAAAATACAGGATCAAACAGCTGGAATGAAAACAGGATGAACAGCTTAAAAATATTTACTATTACTGGAGTCTTTTTTTTTCCTCCGAGAAAACCAGAAGACCTGTGTAAATTCTTATTTTCAAACCCCCTTGCTTGCCCTCCCCCACCCATGCAGGCATATTGTTTATAGCTTCACTCACTATCTGGGAGCCATGAAAACAGGATCACGAGAAAGAAACATTTGCAAGTTGCTGGTGACCTCTACAACTCCCACTACGACTGTGATTTTTCCCTAGGGATCCCATGACATACCAAGAGCAGAATGTCTGTCCTAGAACATTTTCTTCCAGTTAAAGGCAGATTTTTTCCTCTTTGCTAAACAAAGGAAAGCCTGGAATTAAGTCTTCCTTTTTACTCCAAAATTATTCAGCAATTGCATTTCTAGCTTCACCTCAAAGGAGAGGATTTTGTTATTTAAGGAAGATGAGCAGTTGCAAAGCACAACAAAGAATTAGAAAAGCAACACACCTTCTCTTTACACTTCACATATCTGCTTGCTCATCATTTCAATGATCAGCTCGGCTTGCTGTGCAGCAGGATGAGAGTTCCTCTCCCACCCGGCTGTGTTCGGGCTGGAGCCGTTCCTCCAGAGCAAGAGGCACACTCCAATTCTTTCAGGCTCTTTAAATCAAAAGCCTGAAAGTTTGGCAACAAAATCAGAGCAACATGCCATTTTGTACCAATAGAAATAAGGTTTTCCTCTGATTACATGTTGGTCTTTAATGTTCTTTTATGTGGGTGACAAACCTTTTTTTATGTGAACATCAGAAAGAGCATAAAATAAAAGCGCACAGCAAACCATATTCTGCTCCTCACTACAAATACTAAGGGCTTCAGTGTCAGTTTTCACATGCAGAGCTGTTCTGCTTTTGGAAATTACTGCAAGACGACGTAAACAAAAGATTACTCCAGAACGTCTTTAATGAAACTAGATTAGATAGGCAACGAATGCTGAATATATATATATGTATAAATACAAAACTCCACCTTAAATAATGCTGTGTAGTTTTCTTTTGATGTTTCTTCCCATCCTCCCACCTTCCTGGGGTATTTGGACCCCAGACAGTAAACAGGATCTTTAAGAACAGGAAGCGCTGGCACACAGACAAGGCTGAGGAGCCGGAGCAGAGCGAACCCAGGTGTTCTGCACTCTGGTCTGAATCTTCACCTAAGGTGAGCAGCTGCGTAGCAGAGCTGTGGCTCTGATACTGAGCCTCTCCTGGCCCCGATCCCCCCCGCTCACGTCACCCTGGCTTTTAGAAGTCACACACTGCTGCAGCAAGGTGAGCCTGCAGCTGTATTGAAAAAAGAGGAAAGATCTCCTCTCCTGCTGTCCCTACCGAGAAGGGCAAGGAAAGAACTGCAGTAAAACACCAGAGGTACTGTGGTCCTCACGCACTACCACAAGCAACAGGATCAAGAGGGACTTCAGTCCACAACATTCACCTGACCAGCTCCTCTGAACAGAAGGCAGAGAGAAACACGTGTTCGTAAGGAAATCTGACCGGGATTAGGCCCACTTCTGCTTAATTTACATCCATCTTTACTCAAAAGATCCACCCTGTGAGCCCTTCCTTTACTAAGCAGCAGCTGAAAAAGACATCAAACTCAGACTGACCGTATATTGTGTACTTCCCACGTCACAGTTCTTAGGATGGAGTCCGACGGCAACTTAAAATTGAGATAAAGGGTTTCTTCCGTACTAAATTACTCCAGATCCTGAAAGCAACTAATACGTAAAAAAAGCTTTGGAGTGGCAGTGGATAGCAGTATTTTTGCAACTTTGCAGGTTTTTAATATTAAGCATAGAACAGCGAACTGGAAGACAGAAGTTTCTGTTCCATAACCGAAGTATAAATTAGCTTTCCTTTTATTCTATCTTAACTGACTTCAGTAGCCAAACAGCGTTTATAGACGTGCGGGTTTAGTCTGCATGGACTTACTGAATTCCACTAGCAAAAATCATTATCTTTTATCTACTGGCAAACAGAGGCTGGGGGGTGCAACTTCACTTTTGATAGAGCATTTGTAAGGAACCCCATGCCTCAGCAAAAGCCATGGAAGGAGGTTTTTCTTTGTTTAAGCTCCTAAACTGAGAAAACAAAACAATACATTCTCCATTGAGATATTTCTTAACTCCCTTTTTAAAGCTATTTGTCGAGAGAAGGAAGTTTGTGACAGAGTTAACACAAAGGCACAGCCACCTTAACCAAAAACTTCAATTCTGCAGCTAAATACCCTTGCCCTATAAACAGCTGAAATTAATAGAGTTCTTAGCAGATATTCCATGTGTCCCTGCACAGGACAAAGACAGCAGGCAAACAAACCCAGTTCCTTGCAAACCCTGCCCTGTAGAAATAGTTGCCTACTTCTACGCAAGATATAATCACGACAGGAAAATACCATGGCTTTCAGGAGTCAGAAATAATGAAGTACTACTCCCTAGTAGACTTGTTTGTGATAAAGAGTCAACAGTGGTTAATTAAATATTTATTTAGCAGTAGATGATAACCCTGCCGAAAGGTAAGCACCAACAGTTTTCCATAAAAGATTATCAACAGACCTTTATTTACTCCGGCAGAGTGGCACAGTGGGATACTATTCAGCTGCAAAGCATTCGGCACCACCACACGCTCCTGTCAGGCTTCATCTCCCTGAAGGTCACAGATCACTTCGGCATACTGCACCTAAGCACATTGGAAAAACTGGGCCTTCCACGTGCAACACTACTGTTGACCAAATTACTGATTTTGTAAGTGTATTTGGCTACAAGTTACAAAGAAACCAAAGTTTCTCTGAAAACTTAAGGAGTGTAGGCTTATTCTTGCTCTAGCGGTTGACTCTGGTTGAATTAGGGCTCCTCCCTGCATTTACAGGTTGAATGCCAAAGCAACAACCACGACTCGTGAGACACCAACATATTTGTGTTCAAGAAGTACAAACAAACATGATTCATTGTGGCTATGTACGACACGAGGTCCTGCATGCTTCAGCCTGAAGTATGAAAGCAGATACAGTAAACTGTGGCAAACGGTTCTTGGGCAGGCTTAATCAAATATTTATCATTTCTGTACATATCTGTCAGAAGCATCTGCTTTGCAAAGCCTATGTTGTGCAAACACGAAAACATGATTTCAAGTGTGGGGCTACCAAGACATTAAGCTTGCTGTCAGTGCATCCCTATTCTTCAGGCTGTTCCAAGTTGTTTCTCTAAGGAGGTCAGGGTACCAGCAATTTGTGTTTACTACATCTGAAAGAAACAGCTACTTATTTGCCTGAACAGACAGTATTTCCAATTAACGTGAACTTTCCAAAGAAGAAAGTGACATAAACTCATAGGTATTTAAACAGTGAATACTAGCAACATCACCACAATAATTTAAGGATTTCTCAACTTCCCAGCCTGGGAAGTCACTTTCATACCCAGAATAAACGCTTTGAGACCAAGGCACAAGCTGCCTACTGCTAGGGTCAGAGCTCCAGGAAAGGGCTGCATTAAAAAGAACTATCTTCATTTTTTAAAAGCCAAAAAGATACTGGAAGTAGTCAGTCCCTGCTATTAAAAGAACTTTACACATCTGCACAAACAAGGAAGTACTTTTAATACACAGGTCGTCGGAAACATTTTGTTAATGTTTTTGTAGGTGTGTGTATTCAAAAAGACTGAAAGCAGTTTTCAGCCTGGTGACAGAACAGGGAGACCGCAACAGCTTAAGCATTTTGAATTTAATTTCAACCCGTAAACCCCATCAATTAGGGAAGGGTGACTATATTGCAAATCATTTTTTTTTCCTCTTTAAATAAATAACCTGCTCACGTACCATGTCAGCAAGAGATTAGAAGCTGTAAGGGTTACATTTCTCCTATCACCTTGCAGTCGCCTGTGGTACAATCCTATCTGCTGATGTACAGCAAAAGGCTTCAAGAAGAGATGACGAAAGAGCTGAAGGGCTGGATGGCAAAGGAATTTAACACAGTTAAGGGAGGGTTTCCACAGTCAGGAATAGGTTTTGCTATCCTTTTCTTTATGTATCAACTCTGCCACTGTGTTGCTCACAAGCATCCCCTTTCATCCTTTCTCTCTTGGTGTAGTTATGCCATCATTCCCTACGCGTCAAAACAATCCAAGCTGGAGGTATCTGCGATCAAGGGAGTGCTGCTGAGCAGTGATAACAGCCGTCAGCGCTTTATCCTCCGTTTCAGAGCACGTTGAAGACGACAAGTTATTGGAATTTTACTAACTGCAACCTTGGTAAGCAGTTAAACATCAGAAAAACAGTTAAAACTTTACCTCTCAAAATGTTAAAATCAACTTAAAGTGCTTTCTTTTAGCTAGCAACCACTTCTCAAAAAAATTCACTTAACTGATTACGTTTATCATCTACAATGACAGCGTTTCAATTACTATTTTACACCAAAACACAAACATAATTTATTATGAATCAATCTTCGTAACAAACTCGCTAAACTAAAAGTGGCACTCACAGGCACCCTATTTGGACACATGCGCAGTTTTACCCCGTAATCAAGACTATTCAAGATGTCTAGATGCTGCTTAAAAATTAGCTCCTCCACTTAAGACACTAGAAGTTTTCCTGGGACAAGTGCTCTTCTACAGTACTTAACATCAAAATCGAAGGAGATTTCAGAGGAGGCAGGACGAAACTGCAAGAAGATAAAATACAATCTATTAATCACTGTTCTCCCACCAGCGGAGACTGCCTTGATAAAGCAGTGAGCGGGACCGGTTGTTCGACATCCACATAAACTTTTCAGGAGGCAGAAGGGCCATTTTCAGTTTCGCTAGTATCACTTCCACTTTTGTAATTCAGCCACAACATTTGCTGATTATTCAGTTAGGAGCTGGGAACATAAATATAAAAACGAAGAATAATTGGTATGTTTTATCTTCTAAGCAGTTTAATGACCACAATGAGCATATTTTAGAGTATTATTTGGAATGGAAGTTTTTACTCCCCTTTTCCCACAGGAAGCTAGCTCTATCTAGAAACTTCTCCTTATGTTAGCACTATTAACTTTCATCTTTTAAACTATGCCTGTAGTCAAGTGAAGTTAGTGTTTTCCAGCCTTAATGAAAAGCAACATAACGGCACAAGCACCAAAGCTGGATAATAACGTACCTCATCACACAAAGCACGTTTGAGTTTGAGAAAGAAGCAATTCACCTCCCCTCTGCTCGCTTGGCAAGCCAGTCCCTACTCTCTACTCATTCTTCCTTTTTTTGTGCTTTTATTTTTAAGTGTTCAGCCTTTACTTTGCCTACATCTTTGCAGAGATCCGTTTCATCACTTTTCTAGTAAGTCGAAGTCCCAAGGTACAGATAATTTTGTTCTATTACGATTCAGATCGCAGAACAGGCAGGTATTTCTACTTATGGTTGAAACACTGAATCTTGAGTATCTGCTTTTCAGTAACATTCAAGGTTTCTTGCATTTTTGAGGATGTTCAAGAACTCATTTCTTTGTTGATTGCCAACAGCTAAAAGATGGAATAAGGTTGCAACAAGGAGTAATTTTTTGCTCAGACATTTAGCGTCCTCTGCAAGGATCCATGGCTAAGCAGCTGATAGTTCAAGACACTTTTCCAAGACAACAAATGCAATCTCAGCAGAAAATCCATGCTTCTGGAAGGACCATGACCCAAGTTAACAGCAAGATTTAAAAATCAGGAACAGTCTTGGAACACATTGGGCAAGAGTCATTCATCACCATGAACTGCCACGTTAAGTATTGGCAAAAAACCAACTTATTAGTATGGAAATAACAAAATCAGTTAAGTCTCAATGACAGATAAGTTTCATGACATGTTGTACAATCTAGGAGGCAACCTTCCAATTTTCCCCTTCTTTTCTGTTTGGACTTTGAGAGAATGCACCCGAGGGATGTTTCTCTACGTTTCTTTGCCTTAGAAAAGGGTCATAATGTACAGCCAATAGTGTGACTCAGCTGTCTCAAAATTTCAGGGAACTTTACAGTAAGTCTTAGTCAATTCATTAAGTCTCCTGTATTCGACAAACACACTTTGGGGTTCCCAATCCACAGAAGCGGCATTTACAAGCATTTCCGATCTTTAATCAGAAGCTGTAAGCAAAACTGCCAATGCTTTCCTACATAAGATCTGTGAAAATAAGTTAATTTAAGGAAATGCGTTAATGGGTAGACAAAAAAAACCCCAAACCGATCTCTGAGGTGTATCTGACCTTCTGGTAAAATGCAATGGGGCGTGAAACAAGAGATCACTGAACCTTAAGTTCTACGTTCGACCCAACTGTTCTTAAACTTGACCACAGCAGCAGCCCTTTGCTTCTATCGCTGCAAGTTAGCAACACGCCCGAGGCGAAAGCTTCAGCAATGCTCCATCACTCCCGCCCCTTCAACCTCAGAGGGAAGCTGGTTTCTTTGAATTTTGTCTTTACATTTCTAGAGTTCAGGTATGTGAGCACCGTTTTTCAAAAACAGACTACAAACATTCCCAGCGAGCATACTTGATCAATTATGCCTGCTGAGTGCTTTTATTCACTGCTTTCCTGGCTGTAAGAACACTTCTAATAGAGAACAAGCGATGATGTCCACTGTCCCTCACATTTCTTGTTTGAAATACAGTCTAAGAAGCCTGTGTCTTTCACAAAATCCACATCCAGAATTAATGAAGAAAGTACTTTTCTACAATTGAAGCGTAAATACATGCTGTGTAAAAAAAAAAAAAAAAAATCCAACAACATGCTGGCTGCAAAACTGTTAAGTACTGCTTAGATGGAGAAGATAGAGCCAGAATTACATAGACGTAACTCAGTTTACTCCATTTCCGTTTGACCATAAGTTAACTTACAGGATTTAAAAAAAAGAAAGACATTTTTATGAAACAGTTTGATTCCCTCTACCCCCCAGTTGGGCTTGGTTTTGTGTTGGTTTTTTGTTGTTGCAGTTTTCTTGTTTTGTTTTTTAAGTTAATACTACAGCAACGCTGCAGGAAAAAGGTTAATGCTACATAGTATTATTTCTGGTTCATTTAACACTCCATTAACCATTCAGAAACAGATTTCTAGGATAACTTTAGTTGGAAGGAACCTCTGGAGGTTATCTGGACCAACGCTGTACTCAAAACAGTTCACACGTTTGGTGCCCAAATAAAAATCAAGAGAAACAAATCCATTTCCTTTCTCCACTGCTCACATTTGGATTAAGATACTACAAAGAGAAACTTGTAACAGAATTCTTTGCCATGACACATTCAGCTAAAAAGGAAAAAGAAAATTCCCATCCAGTTTTAGCGTAAATATTTTTGTGGCCTCTTCTAGTCATAGCTACAATTTCAGACAGGCATCATCACTTGGAGCAGCTGGATGTCTGGCTTTTTAAAAGGATGAGACAGAACTCCTACAAGCATGGAATGCAACCCAAAGCCCAACAAGCCCTACCTTCGCTTACGCTACGAGCCACAAGCCTGCTTCTTCAGTTCACCAAAGCACAAACTCTTATCCTTTCCCTAATGCTCCCCCTTCCAACTCAACCACGCACACAAAAGACACGTGGCACATCTTCCCTCAACTGGGAGATTTACTGGATTTCACACATTTTTCAGTAATTACAAAACAGCAAGACAAAACTTACTTTTATAATGGTATTTTAAGACTAAACTGGAAAGACTGATTTTGCAATATTATTCCCATTCCAGTTATAAATCATAAAAATCACTTTCCTCATCAGTATCAAAATTTAAAAAAGAATCCTAGCTTCCCCTCACGCAAATACAATGTTTTTCAAATGTTCTATTAACTACAACCTTTGTTAACCTTGACTAATGTACTCAACCAGGCAAAGCAAACCCACACAGGATACCCATCTACAAGATGCTGGTATTTCTTGCACGATTTGGAATTAACCTATCGGCATCCCAGTTTCCTTTCCCCCAAAACAGGCAAGAGAAGCAACAGTTTTCTATTTGGAAGTGACAGATACTGGCAAGGTGTTCAGATATCAGAGTATTCCTGGTACCCAGAGAATCTGCACCCGTCTACGTACTGAATTTACTTTTTACGTACAAGATTTCTAAGAAAGCCGTTTTCACAGACTCATCTAGACATTTACAGAGAGCTTTAATTTCCTTCCGAGTTAAAACTATGATGATTATCAAGGTTATTCAAAATTGTATCACATGTGACCAACCCATTAGAAAGCACACTACACACCTGAATCCGAGCAACAACTGTGATTTGGAAGTCTATTTTTTTACACAATAACACCTTTTAAAGGTGGGGTTTTCTTCCAATAACTGGAAACCTCTTACAATACACTTGGTCTTGTGCAACAGCATGATGGTAAAGCGTGAAACCCTTGCTGGTTGTGGAAATTCCTATTCTAAAGCTTCCAGCAACCTTTAAAAAGTGAGTTATCCAGGAAGAAGTATCCCCCATTTGCTTCCAGAAAGCAGGAATAGCCTGATTATCAGAGAAACAGTTAACCAAGTAATGAACTGCTTTATGACTTCCAATAAAGCACAATTGCTTTGTAAACAGCTCAGCTACACCACCTTTCCCGAAGAATACTCCAGGAAAAAAACAACAAACCACTCAGTTTCATCATTCATGCAAGTTAACTGCAACAAGGAACAAAACAAATCTGCCCTTAACTCAGAATGACAATTTGAAGCAGCCAAACAACTGAAACACCTTGGCATGGATTTGTAGGCTGGGCTTAGTGTGATTTGGAAAAAAAAAAAGCACAAACCACTGTCTCCAGGTTGCTAGGAACAGCATCAAGTTAACACCTATGAAATGCAGGGCATCTGCTCCAGAGCTGCAGCTCTGAAGCGTTAACACCTATGAAATGCAGGGCATCTGCTCCAGCCAAACTGCGATCTGCTCCAGAGCTGCAGCTCTGAAGCAGTCGTATTTATTGTCTTAATGAAAAAGCACAATATTTCACGGATCACATAAGGAATTGCGTGGTTTCAGAAATTCCCCTGTAAACACTATGAGCTTGGTCAACGTGTGGTTTGTCTACGTGATGACATCGCCTAAAATATCCTTCCAAGTAACTAACCACTGGGGAAAAGCTTGCCAATGTTATTGTTTGAGAATGAAGGTAGTTACTGTGAAACTAAGTTCACACGGGACTTTATTTCAGAGCAGCTTATCTAGTCAGTTCCGCATAGCGGACAAACCATTAAATCCCATCACTCTCGGTACTGGAACACTCCTAGGAACTAACGATGTTTACGCACAAAAAGAAGCAGCCTTTGATTCTTACACTGCATTACAGAACTGCAGCATGGAAGCAACAAGTATGAGAACTTCTCTATAAATGAACTGTGAGAAATTCAAGAATGATTCAGATGACGGTGGGAAAGCTCCTAATTTTATGTGACGTGGTGCATTTGAAAGCCTGGTACAGCCCAAAGCTAGGATGTGAGGGTACAAGTAACTAACAGAACAGAGTCCAGGTTTCTTTTATTAAGCACTACAAATCCCAGACTCAGACCCAGTTTACCGCTCCTTTACAAGTTTGCTGCAGGGTGCTCATAACTGCAGAATTCACTCAAACACAGCTTTATAGCCCACGACGTCCACTTTTAAACATATACTTCCCTCATGCTTGTTCTGAATACACACTGTTTATAACGTAAGCTCTTTTCAATCACATTTGTAAAGCCAATAAGAAAGAAGTTTGAGGTGAAAAAAAACTTACAGAAACATAACAGTAACAGCAGCAGAAGTAACAGGTCTGATACCTTAGTAACTTCAGAAATACTGAAAACAGCAACAAAACCCCCAAAGAAAAACGTGCAGTTTATACTAGTTCAAAGTTTTGTTAACATCCCATCTACCAGAAAGCATGCAAGTATCGCTAAGAAACAGCAGGGTCAGATTTAACACCAATAAAAGCAGTCCTCTGGGTAGCCTGAAATAAGAAAGAAGATTTTACAGGGGGCAGAGCGTGACACCGTGCTGCAAGCAGGGGGACGCCGCCGGTTCGGCACGCACCCCACGGAAGGGCTCCCCTCCCGGGGGCACCAACCCGGCGCCCGCCCA